TATTATTAAATACGCTACAACAGCTTAGTGTCGGTAAAAAGTGCAAGTGTAGACTACGCTGCAAAAATGTGAGTCACGCGCCGCCTACTGCTGTTACTCTTCTGTAGAACCGCCATAACTGAATGCCCGTGCCCTCCCCGCCCCCACCCGACTGCCTTCTGCCACATGTCATATTATTTCCACTTTTACGTCTCCTTCTGCTTTTTCGCATTTTTTTCTTGGATTTTTCTATTATATATGTTAAAAGTACAGGTTTAAAGTAATGTTAATATATTTTTTACCCATTAATATATATAAATAAATAAAATTAAAATGCATGTTCAAAAAAAATAAAAATAAAATTAATTTTAATATTAATGTTAAATGTTTTAATTTAATTAATTAATTATTAAAATTAAAATTTATTTTATTATGTAATTCAATAATAAAAAATATATTAATTATTTTTTTAATTTGTATACTTAAATTACATGTTGAGAAAACCCTTTTCTCTTTTGGACGTTTGTACTATGTTAACTAAAAATCGTTCATTTTCTATTTTTTGTTCTCGATGAACATTTTCTATACGCTTTTAAGTGTTTGTTACTTTGAATTTAGGGTTTGTCTATTTATTTTCACATTATTTACACATAGATAATTTTAATTAATTATATTAAAATTAAGATTTATTCTTTTAATAAAAATTAATTATAAAAAATATATTAATTATAACTTTAATTTATACGTTAAAAATAAAAAAATAAAAAATCCATTATATTTAATATGGTCTGAAATAGTCCGTTACATTTATTAATTAGTAAATACAACACATTATTGCCCCCAGCAGCAGCTGCAGAAAACAATTGCAAGCCGATAACCTTTTAAGTATTTATTTCCCTACCAATAGTAATAAAATAAACCATTAACGTCATTACCAGTTACAACAGTCCTCTGCAATTACCACATGCCATTTTTTTTCCTTTTTTTGGCACATGCGATATATTTTAATTTTAGAATGGGAAAAAATCTATTTTAAAAAAGTAGTTGAAATGGTTAAAAATTTAGGTAAAATTTTTTTTAAACCTTTAAACTTATTTTAAAATAACATTTAAACTCCAAATGAAAAATGAAGCAGATAAGTCCTTCAACTCCTCTAATAATACAAATAAATTCTTTTTATTTATAGGTATTCATATTTTCAAAGTGATATTAAACATGAAATAACGTTTGATTCACACTTATTTACATTGTTAGTGAAATTGGAGGGTTTATTCATTTCATTTTTAATTTCAAGGTTTAAATGTTATTTTAAAATAAATTTGGGAGTTTAAAAAGGTTTTTATTGAAAATTTCAAATTTTAAGTTAGAAATTTTAAATTTAAACATGAAAAGTAATTAAAAAAAAGATTATATTCTCTTATATAATTTATCATTATAGATATTAAAAAAAAATTAAATCTAGTGAATACTAATATAGTAGTTTCGTAGAAGTAAAAAAAGAAAGAGAGAAAATCTAATTTCCATTTTCATTTGTTTTTGTCACGTGCATTCGCACGTGACTCTACAAAGACAACTACAACAAAGGACATAGCATAGAACTTATGGGCAAACTCGTCCGCTCACGTTAGTGTGACGGAAATGTTTAACACTCATATTTAAATTACCACTTACAAATAAATAAATCACAAAAAAAAAAAAAAAAAACTCGCCGATATTTTCAGTTCCCGCCCATAGTAGCATCACGTGAGAAATTGCCGATATAATCAAATGTCCACCAGAGGATCCAACGCGAACAAGTCCCCGAGATCTTGAAAATGGTCCTCCGAATTCCAATTAGAGAATCCGAGGCCATACCCGGAATCCGTACCCGAGTCGAATAATGTGCTGCTGAAATTCTCCTTCAAAAACCCGTCCTCTAAACCCGTCTCGTCGAGGAAACTCGGGACGGAACTGAATATTTCGTTTGTGAACGGCGAGTAATCGAAGAAATCCGGGAATTTTACTCCCGATATGCTGGATTCTTCTTGAGTTTCGTTGATGATACCGAGAGCTGATGGCGATTCTTTAAGGCTTTGGGAATCGACTTCTTCGGCAGAAGGTGAGGGACACCGGAGAACGGAAGTTGGAGAGCAGACGTTGTTACTGTGAGAGTGAGAATCGTCGCCGGAAATGTAATCCAAGGAGGATGACGGTTTCTGGTTGTCTTTATCTGGGAGCGACTTTTGCGGAGGAGTAATGAAGTTGGTGAGCGCGTCTGGTCCACGCAACTGGATAGCCGCGTTGTCGTAGACAATCGCCGCTTCCTCGGCGGTGTCGTAGGTGCCCAACCAGAGTCGTACGCGCCTCATGGGGTCCCTAATCTCAGCAGCCCATTTGCCCCACGGCCGTTGCCGTACTCCCCTGAACTTCTTTTCTGCAGGAAAACTGGCCGGAGCTTTGACATTGGCGCCAGTGGATGCTGTCCTCTTCCGGTTGCTTCGGCCCGTCGTCGACCTGTTCCAAACGCCGTCTTGCAGGCCGGTGCAAGGAGACTCGATTGTTATCTCATTAACGAACCTCCTGACTCTACTCCTTCTGCAGACACTGCTTTCTTCGTCGCTAGAGGAGTCTGTAGCGTCTGCATCCGTAACTGAAATCCGCACAACTCTGGGCTTCATTTGCTTCTCACATTCCATTCCCACATTGGGAATTGGTGTGACTAACTTGGTGAGATGACGGTGCTCGGTATATTTGACTGGACATACAGAATGACGATCCATTTCTTGGGTTATTATAGAATTTCCGATTGTTGGGGGTATCAGATTCTTCTAATTAATTTGCATTGAGAGGCGAAAGGGACTAAGAGGGTAGAGAAAAACAGGTGTGGGTGATGAAATAATAGTGGGTAGAAAGGAAAAAGAAGGGAGATTCAATTCCTTTGAGACTAGACAAGACACGAGGATGGAATAAAGATAGAAAGTAAGATGAATGATAAAAACGTTAAAGAGAAGCTTGAAATGTAGAGAAATCTACCCTCAAAAACTCTCTCAAAAGCTACTAAAGGAGACTCAAAGTTTTCAATGAAAGTTGACCCAAAAAGAAAGAGAACTAGTTCCAGTACACGGCAGTATGGAACGACAAAGCACCAGTGACAATGGTGGCAAAAGTGACAAAGTTGCAGATGTAAAGAAAAAGAGGAAGACTGAGATCTCCACCCGATTATGCTTTCCACAATCCACTTAACAAAGGTAGAACTTTCTATATCAATTAAAATTTCCAAAACTCATACACTGAGATCTCCCCCGACTGATTTCAGGGGGAAGAGGAGAGAAAATGAGAGAGCAAGAAAGAAAGAAAGATGCTTGAGAGATAAGAGTCACGGAAAACAGAAGCCGAGTAAGGGGGACATAGAAAATGGAGCTCTTTTTATAGGATCCCAAACAGCCGTAATCGGTTTAGTACCATTTAATATCACAATTTTTTTTTTAATTTCTATTTTTCCCAAATATGAAGTGAAAAATTAGTTTGATAAAGACTTCATCGGAGCGGTCATTTCTACGGCTGAAGATTCCGGCAGAGGAGAGATATTTCACGAGGCACCGCATAAGAGTTGGACAAATAGATTGCCAACACGTAGCAAGTGGGCCTGGCGAAACGGGGAGATGCCAAAAACCAACTGGGTGCTGACTCAGCACAAAAGATTTCTCTCGAAATCAGGAATTTGGGTCACGTGATATCGAACACTCAAAGGGGGGGAGGAAGGTTCATTCATCTTTGACTGAAGAATTGAAGAACACCAAAAAGGTAACAGTTAAAAACCAGCTTTAACTATGATTCAATGCCCCTCCTAATTACCCCATTAATGTAGTGTTAATGAGGGTATTTCCGTCATTTCAGTTAAAAACCAGCTTTGACTATGATTCTATGCCCCTC